GAGAGAGAGAGAGAGAGAGAGAGAGAGAGAGAGCGTGAGCGCATGTGATGGAGATGTGTTCTACCCCTTTATGATATAATTGGCAAGGTTAAAATAAGGGAGAAATCCTATTTGTTGTAATGTTAGCTTCTTTTTGGAAAATCTAGGAAATCAAAACTTCTCCAGGCTCTCCATCACAATTTATGCTTGAGTTATTAATGTGCCATACTTGCTTTGGAATCTTTTACTAAAATAGAAAATGGAAGAAATAACCCACTTTCATTTGCTTTGTAGATTTCAGACTTCTCAGTTTTAAAACAAAGCTTGGTGATAGTGTGGTTTTCTACACCCTACAGTTCTCAGTCACTACAGAGAAGTCAAACGAGGAATTTTTTTTTCCTTTTTAAGAGTTTGTTTCTGTAGAAACTTCATTTTTAGATTAAACTGTGAGGGATGAGCTATCATAGTTCAAATACACAGCTCTTTTTCTACCCATTATTGTCATGCAGTAATAGTAAAGGCATTAATGATGCGGCAAGCTTATAAGTTGTTCTCTACAAGAAATAGGCGTTTCATTTTACTGTTGAACTTGGATTATGCAGCTACTTTAATAATTAAATGTGTACATCCCTTACAGATCTGATCAAAAATCACTTTTGATTTTGTTGCTGCAGTGAAATAGTCTATAGTAGGTAGAGTACTGGATATAAGTGGTCCAAAGTGAGACAGAGTACTAAAGGCAAATGCTAAGTCCTAAAAGAAACTGGTTTATGCACTAAACGTTTTGTGCCTTGGTCTAATATTTAACACAATGTCTGTGTAAGATGATAAAAAAAAAAAGAACCAGTGTTGACTCATGCTATATCCTTCATAATATTGCATTATCCCACATGGCTAAATGTATTCCTTCTTAGAAGCTTAATTGGACTATTCTATGCGTTCACTGTCAATACATGACAGTCTTGTCATTGTTAGAGATTTCAGTGATTAAAATGGGAAACAGAAGCTTAGGTTATTTTCCCGAAACCGTTCCTTGGAAGCATATCATGATGATGGGTTTTGCTTTTGTGTGTTGAATGTCTTCAGCTGAGTACAGTTTAGGGACCCTTTCTAACTACAGGAAGGCGCTGCTCTCCTCAACACTGTGATCTGACCTGCGACAACTCCTTACAACACACTTTGTGAATGGCTAGCAAGTGGATAGCGAACTAACTGAATGTACAAACCTTAGTGCTGGTGCTGAAATCTCTGAAGAATAGTCGTCATGATCTCAAAGTCTGTCTAAAGACTTACAGACATAATATGTCAATCAGAACTAAAGATGAAACATTGATGAATGTTGAATCCTCATGCTGCAGGTGTGTTTCCTGTTTAGGTTTTTCAGTTCTCTGCTGTTTTTACCATACCTGTTTCATTTAAATTTCCTACACGCTAACTTCATTTGTGCGATTGAAATAAAATTTCAGTATATACACGTTTCTTGTTTGTGACACTTAGATGACCTTCTGAAGTAATGTGTTAATTCTAAACCAAGTGATACTGGGTGTAAAATTAGCACCTAATGAAGCCCAAGGCTTCACTGTTTACAGTTTACACATCATGCCGCTGTTCTTTAAGATTTCACAAAGGGAATATGTAATGATCGCTCTGCCTTTTATTTTGAAGTAAGTGTTGTGTGTCCTTATATCTTACATTTTCTCAGCACACCTTGACACAGTGTCTTTTATAATCAAGATGGTGAAAAATGTTTTACTCCATTTTTTGTTCTAGAACATAATATATTTCATCTCTTACACAGCACAGTTCATTTTTGTTCATATAATTTGCAGATTAAAGGCTATTGCCAAGAAATTAACTTTAAATGTAGTAGTCTGTACTATCTATAGTGTTTTCCTGCATTATACTGATCTCTATACTGGCTCTATGTCTATAAGCTTCAGCATTTTTATCTATTATAAAGTATCAGTTTTGAGTTCCATTCTGAAACTGTAATTTCTTCATTAGAAATACAACATGTCTTGTATTTTTTTTCCCCTTTTACCAGACTCCCACCTCTATCCCAAGCTGTCCTCCATCATTGTGAGCTACGTGTTTCTGGCTTTAATTTGCAGCTGTTACGTAGCCAGTGTTGCGAGAACGCCAGCTGATTTTTGTGTTCTAACTCACGTTCCTGCCTTCTCTACATATTAGTCACTTCTCGTTCAGAAATGAATTAAGCAGCAGATGCTAAGCCAAGCTTTTCAGTTTCCCTGCCTTAAGCTACTGTCTCCCGAGTTTATCCTCTTTTCAGTGCTGCTGTGAAGAACTCATGCTTTTAGGTGCCGGGCCTGTGAAGGTGAGCTGCAGGACCTGTAGTTTGTTCATGTGGCCGTGAGAATTGTTTGAGCCCTTTATCATGGTCTCTGATCCTGTGGACATAACCTGCAATCCAGTATTCTGGAAACAGAAACAGGAGGATTTTGAGTTTGAGGTCAGGCTGGACTGCATAGATAGACTTAGTCCTATGGGTCATAGCATGAAAATGATGCTGTATAGGACAGTGTAAAGGGAACGCCTGTCCATTTATCAAGTTGTGAGAAAAACTGTTTTCCATAAGACATTCTAGTTTTCACTTCCAAACTCCAACCTGTTCCTAGTAGTGCCATTTTTATTTTTAATAGAATTAGTATGTGATCATCTCCCCAGAACTCTGAGAAATACAAAAGGATCCTAAGAGTTTACTGGAGTTGATACCTCTGACATTTTGGTAAGAGCCATTTATCCGTTTCTAAATTCAGTGCTTCTTCTGAAGTCAAAACTTGCTGTATTTTAAGGAGTCCAACTAAACATTTAGTCTGGTCAGTATTTTGTATGAAGATCATGGAGAAGATGTTCTTAACAGTTGTTTTTTGTTGAGCATACACCCATTTGACTTAGAAGCTAAAATTTGCAATCTCTCAAGAAAAGCCATCTACTTATGCCAAATATTCTTGGGGGTAGGGGAACTGCGATACAGTTTTTCTCTATTGCCAACATCAGAATAGGCTGTGGATTAAATCTCATTCCCTTGTGAATTTTCTTTTTTTTTTTTTTTGAAGTACCTTGATGATTTTTTAAAGTACCAAGGTTCTTTTTTAATGTCTTTGGTATGGGTAAATGCATACATGGATGTGCAAGTAGAGACCAGTGTTGACCCTCACCACCGGTGCACTTCTTTTGAGACAAGGTCTCTCATTGACCCTTTGAGAGACCTTCCTGTCCCTTCCTCCTAGTGCTGTCCTTCCTAATGTGTGCCACTGCACACAGTGTTTTTACATGGGTTCTGGGATCTAACTCTAGTCCTTGTGCTTCCTGAGAGGCACTTTTCCAGTTTAGCAGAGCTCTCTTGCCTTGCCCCTTTTTCCTTTATATTTTAATGTTGGAAAAATGAAACATTCCAATTTTTAAACTCTATGGTTGATTAGAATAGAAAGTTAAATTGTACAGTAAATTTATGGGATAACAGACAGCTACTTCCCATCAGTAGACTACTAGTGAATAGTCAACTCATACAAGGAAAACTGAACTTTTGGGCAAAAATATAAATTTGAAAATGAAGTATGAATTGTGTTAATTTGTAAAGCAACAGTCACTGAAAGAGTTTAAAGTGACTTGGTCATGGTGACTTAAGATGGTAAAAGGAATTTGCTACAGTCATTGATCATATCCATTGAAATCTAAAGATACAGATGCATGTGAGGAGCAGGGGGTTGAGAAACAGTGTTTCCCTTCGGTTATAGATGCTTTCTGTTAGCACCACGTGTGCCAGGCACCCTGTAGGTCTCCAGTGCTTGCTCATTAAGAGGAGAGAGAAAAACTGAGGCATCAGTTAAGTGTTTGGACTAGATATCTGTCACTGTACCCTAGTTTGAAGGTTACCAGGTACTCGAATATCACACAGCCTTAGAAGGTTCTGGTGTAGGACCCTAGGATTCCTGGGTAATGGGAGACCTTGATCAGGATCACAAGCATACCGCCAAGCTCATCACTAAATCCAGCCCTTTCTAAACATAAGTTAATCTGTTGTAATAGAAATTAGAAATGCCCATGTGCTTCATTAAAGAGCTATTTGTAAGTGACCATTTATTGTTCTGTAAATCTGGTTTAGTTGTCTCCTTTTGACTCCGGGAAGATTTCTTTAGCAGTAGATAATAGACTCCCTTTTCTAAAAAAATTTCTCTTAATACAGGCAGTGAATGATATTGCCAATTGATATGGTGTTAATGGTGGTTCTTCCAAGTAGGCTTAGAACATATACACAGGCAGACCAGTCAGTTAGCACAAAGAAAATGGTACTCCAAAGAAGGACGTGTGCACATATTCTAGTACTGAGATGCAACTCTGTTGTCATAGGATTACACAGTGGTATGAGGCTCTGGATTGATCCCTGGCACTGAAGAAATCAAAATGTAGTAAATGTGACACAGAAACCTTTTTCAAGGTATAATCTAAAAATGTCTGAAATTCAACATTCCTTATCTACACAGCTTTTTACATGTTTCATATGGTATTAAATGCTTTTTTTTATGATTTTCAATTTGTTCTGGATGAGACATACCAGCATAAGATTGAACCTGGATGTAGGCATATTT